AAATATTTCCTTGACAATTGGAGCTCTGCTGTGCCAGGAGCTCCAAGAGCAATAACTAGTAATGCATCTGGGAAACAGGAGATGCAAGTGGAAATCCAATAAGACCTGTTCTGAATGCTCCTGTCATTTATCAACTGTATTAAGCCCCAGAGTAGGTGGGAGGTGAAGGGTTTCTGCTTTGCTGAGTATAGCGTGGGTTTTCGAAAGACCGATGCTTCCTGGAAATGCCTCTCGGCAATTCATTCTGAAAGAGATCTATTGGTGCCTTCCTTTGACAATGAATAAAAATATACCATTCCTTTTGATACTCGTAGGGGTAATATATTAGCCAATCTGGAATTTCATACAACTGTCAGCAAGGATGTGAGGTTTTTTCTGCACTCAAAGCTAGTCATTCGTTCAGCAACCTAGAGAATATTTTCTAAAGTAATTAAATAAGGAGAAAGTCCATCATTTGAAAGCCTGGAGGGCATTTTCTGTGAAACATCTCTGAATTAAACAGGCCAGAGATTTTATATCTGGGGGATTTTATATCTAGTCACCCTCTGGGGGAGATGGGTGGTATACAAATTAAATAAATAAATAAATAAAATAAATAAATGAATGAATCAATGAATGAATGAATGAATGAATGAATGAATGTCTGCCTAAGGTTTCTCTTCTAGGCTCTGGAACATGCTGGCTGAGGAATTCTGTGAGTCCATGCATCTTAAAATGGCCAAGTTTGAGAAACGCTCCTCTAAAATAGCCTTTCCCATCCTTGATGCTTTCCAGATGTGTAGACAGTTCCCAGAATTCTCAACAGTGGCAATGCTGGTTGAGAAGTTCTTTGAGCTGAGATCCTCACCTCTGAAGAGTATCGTCAAAGAATGTGGAGATTACCTTGGAGAAGGAATGGGTGAATAGTTAAGCGTGTGGAAATGGCAGCTCAGTCCTGGAAAACTAAAAAGCATGAGAACAAAGCTCAAAGTAAACCTGCCTTGCTTCTGGTATAAGACAGGACCAGCTTTCAAGATTCTGTTATTATACCCTACAACAGTGTTGTCCAAACTTGGCCACTTTAAGATGAGTGGACTTCCACCCCCCGAATTCATTGGTGGCCGGGGGAATTTTGGGGTTGAAAGGCCCCCCTTCTTAAAAGGGCCAGATTTGGGAAAACCGGCCCCAAAAAAAAAA